ATTCTCAACTTCCCTTTAATATATCAAAATTCAAGGTTATCCCAATTTCCCTCTAATTTGTTTCATTTAAAACAACCTGTTTTTTACAATGTCAATATAAATAATTACTCTAAAAGGGCTCTGTTAATCCTCGGAGGATTGTTACGTCATGCTGTAAAAAATGACGTCATATCAACAGAGAAAGACGCTGTCAAATCGCCATGATGAAAATCAACAGAGAAGATAACAGAAGAATTAAGGTAAGTTCCTTAGCTAAGATTATTGGATTAGTGTTAGATATATTACTTAACTTATATATTACAAGAACACTTTTTTGTTTATACATTAGAAAATAGAAAAAATACATATCTACCGGAAATGGCGAGGACAGGTTTGTCGTGCTAGAATGAATGGCCAATTCATTACCGAAACAAACCTGCTTGGAGTTTGGGACTAGCACCTGATGAGAGTTCCCTTTCAAAATTACTGGCATTTTAGCTAGCCGACATCTTTTGACTTTTTGGCATCTTTTAAAATTATAATTATGCTATAGCACGAACCAAAATTTTTAAATTCAATTTGGCTTAACTCCTTCCTGGTCTTTTTCTTTATTAAATTTGGTTTTTGTTTACATATATGCACACACAAATACATATAATCTGTTATATTCAAAAATGTATTACTTATCTTTTGCCAATTATTATGTTTATTGCCTAGATTAGTATTCCTTTAGGCTTTTAACTTTGTACAGTACTATTGCTAATTTTAAAACATTATCTAAAACTTAATTTTAATCGGTATAAACAGCAATTATTTACAATTTTTCAAGTTTACAATATTTCAAACTAAATAAAAACAATGTAGCAAATCTAAATTATTTCACCCCCCCCCCCCGTTTTTGTTCATTTTAAAACTAGATTTTATTATACATAATTATACAACTTCCAAATATATATTTTATCCCCCGTCTCGTTTTAATTTATATTTAATCTCTAATTTTTGTTCATAAGTTATTGAACAAAATCACCCCCCCCCCTTTTTGTTCCTATTTGCAATTTTCCTCACCTCATCTTTATTTTCTCTTTATATTATTTTGACATTAACTACACGTATGGTCGGCCACCAAAAAATGATTGTAGCAACACGGTGGTTTATTTATTTATTTATTATTTATTTATTTTTAGAAAATAATTAGTAGATGTACTACGTATGTCTACACGATCATACGGAGGCCTGTTCTCCTTATGAGAACAGAGAATTGAGGCTGGAAGCACTAGGTGAAAAAAAGAAAATGTGTATTTTCTTATCACCAATACAATATACTAAAAACAAATACAAACATGAGAGTTCCCTTTCAAAATTACTGGCATTTTAGCTAGCCGACATCTTTTGACTTTTTGGCATCTTTTAAAATTATAATTATGCTATAGCACGAACCAAAATTTTTAAATTCAATTTGGCTTAACTCCTTCCTGGTCTTTTTCTTTATTAAATTTGGTTTTTGTTTACATATATGCACACACAAATACATATAATCTGTTATATTCAAAAATGTATTACTTATCTTTTGCCAATTATTATGTTTATTGCCTAGATTAGTATTCCTTTAGGCTTTTAACTTTGTACAGTACTATTGCTAATTTTAAAACATTATCTAAAACTTAATTTTAATCGGTATAAACAGCAATTATTTACAATTTTTCAAGTTTACAATATTTCAAACTAAATAAAAACAATGTAGCAAATCTAAATTATTTCACCCCCCCCCCCCGTTTTTGTTCATTTTAAAACTAGATTTTATTACACATAATTATACAACTTCCAAATATATATTTAATCCCCCGTCTCGTTTTAATTTATATTTAATCTCTAATTTTTGTTCATAAGTTATTGAACAAAATCACCCCCCCCCCCCTTTTTGTTCCTATTTGCAATTTTCCTCACCTCATCTTTATTTTCTCTTTATATTATTTTGACATTAACTACACGTATGGTCGGCCACCAAAAAATGATTGTAGCAACACGGTGGTTTATTTATTTATTTATTATTTATTTATTTTTAGAAAATAATTAGTAGATGTACTACGTATGTCTACACGATCATACGGAGGCCTGTTCTCCTTATGAGAACAGAGAATTGAGGCTGGAAGCACTAGGTGAAAAAAAGAAAATGTGTATTTTCTTATCACCAATACAATATACTAAAAACAAATACAAAATGATTTAACATGTAATTATAACCTTATATAACATTATTTAAGATTTGAGTTACTTAAGTACTATAGTATACCGTTAATTGACTTTTTGGTATGTTACTCACCTTCACCTGAGACGGAAGGTGATGTATCAATCTGCGTAACCTGTATCCTAGCATCGCAATGTCAATCACTCTCTCTCTGCTTATTTTAATAATCAATGTTGAATTTCAAAGCTTTTGTACATCAAATTAAAAATGAAATTGTATCAAGTAACATGTGACCTACTTATCTGGTGTCCTTCGGTGTACTGTATACAGTATACAGAGTAAAATCAGGATCTTTATAACAGGGATTTCCGGAGAGATTATTTAATATTTCTAGAATAGTAGTAAGTTTCGCCGTCCAGAAAAATACGAGTCTTTTATGACTCGCCTATAAGTTGGACATAGACTTTTGGACTAAAATTTAACCCCCCCCCCAAAAAAAACAACTTATAGGCGAGTATATACGGAAAGACGTATGATGTTTCCTTCCATGAGGACTCTTTGAATTTTGTATACTGTATTTATATATATTTGATAAATCTTAGTATGATAAATCTTTTTTGGTGATAAGAAAATAACCCATTTTCTTTTTTTCACCTAGTGCTTCCAGCCTCAATTCTCTGTTCCATCTCCTCAACACTTCTTTAGTGAAGTTGAGATGGACAGGCCTCTACATGGCTGTATAGATACACTTAGAGAGGCTGGGGGTGGCAGCCATTTTCAGACTATTTCGATCTCCTTTAAAAGAAGAGCTCCATATAAAGATATACAAAAATATTCAAATTTTAAAATCAAAATGTATGAATTTTTTCTTTTCCAAATGATAGTTCACAGCTTAAGATACTGTATCTAAAAACCAGAAGTCTCTGTCGAGACTGAAGCTCTACTGGTTTGAACTTATAGCAAAGGAAGAGAAAAGTACTTAAGCAGCTGGGATTTGAAACTTTACAACAGCAATAAATAGAATAATGATTGTGTTGATAAAGTCTCTTTATGTTCTTAGTGTATTCTACTTGTGTGCCAAGTTATATTGAAATCAGACCAAAACTGTAGGAGGCGTAGCATTTTGAAACAATTTTACAGATATTTCTATTTTTAGTAACCACGGCAACACCGTTCATCGAAATCAAAAACCGATACACAGATTTATGTATCTTAGTGTAGTCTACTTGTGTGCCAAGTTATACTGAAATCAGACCAAAACTGTAGGAGGAGTAGCATTTTGAAAGAATTTCACAGAAATTTCTATTTTTAGTAACCATGGCAACATCGTTCAACGAAATCAAAAACCGATACACAGAATTATGTATCTTATTGTATTCTACTTGTGTGCCAAGTTATACTGAAATCAGACCAAAACTGTAGGAGGAGTAGCATTTTGAAAGAATTTCACAGAAATTTCTATTTTTAGTAACCACGGCAACACCGTTCATCGAAATCAAAAACCGATACATAGAATTATGTATCTTAGTGTATTCTACTTTTGTGCCAAGTTATACTGAAATCAGACCAAAACTGTAGGAGGAGTAGCATTTTGAAAGAATTTCACAGAAATTTCTATTTTTAGTAACCACGGCAACACCGTTCAACGAAATCAAAAACCGATACACAGAATTGTGTATCTTCGTGTAGTCTACTTGTGTGCCAAGTTATATTTAAATTAGACCAAAACTGTAGGAGGAGTAGCATTTTGAAAAATTGTTTACAGGCAGACGGACAGACGGACAGACGGACGGACGCCGGACGCATTACTATCGCATAAGCTCTTCTGGTCTCTGACCAGTAGAGCTAAAAATTAGTGAAATCTGGTGGTTAATTTGTTGACCCCCCCAGCCTCCTTAAAAGGACACAATGAGTCAAAATCATGTCTTTCTTTTAAGATATCTGTAGCATACAGAGAAAGACTTATGAAAATTATGAGTATATACTAAGATATGACAATTAAACTGCAAGAAAAAATTGCACGATATAAGTCCCGGAAAAACAAAGGTTGTATCTCCCGTTTCGTTGTTTTCGTATTTGTCAAGGTCACGCCACTTTTATTTATAGCTCAAACTTGTAAACAACATTCAACTGGATCATGCAAATGTGGGAAATATGTTTTAACAACGTTTTAAAAAGATTGCCTCTATATTTTGGTCTACTTCCATTCATTCCTGAGTACGTGATACCATGGTAACTATGGAAACTTATTCAACTTTTCAGCGCACGCGTACAATGGGGTGGAAGAAGTATTAAGCAATATTTTCGGTCTGGGGCATACAAAAATTATTTTTACTTTTATTTTTCTCCTTAAAAATAGAATGTTTAGGTTGTGAAAGCTGTAATTTTCTGAAACGTAATACTTTTAGGAATTGAACAAAATTAACAAGGGTCATGCTAAATTTCTAAATTTGTCAATTTTCCCCTTTGTGCGTCACAGTGCCGCTTTCAAATTTCTTGCGTTACGAAGTATAGCGAGAAATAATTGTCCTAACGACATGTAAACAAATTGTTTGAGTCGGAACGGAAGTCTTATACCGGGTAATTGTGTACTGAGTAATGGCCAATGGAAATGGGTTTTAAGTAATGACGTGTTCGAATGGGTTAAAGAGATTTCTAGTAATCATTCTCTAGCGCACGCTCTACCCGAGTAAGTCAAATTTGTAAGACGGACGCTAGACGCATTCAATGGGGTTTAATTCGTCTTTATTCAAAAAAGTTTATTTGGCAGTTTACGTATAAAAGGATTTGTTGAGCAGTTTTTGTTTTTATAATTGACTTCAATTACAATTTTCCAACAAAAATATTCATCGAATTTCGACATCACAGAATTGAAGAGTGTTCTGTAAATAGGGTACGACAAGCAGTACAAGCAAACGAGCACTGGAATCAGCTACAGGGACGTTCGAGAAAAGGGTCATTTGAGCTGTGATAGCACAAGAGAGATACAAGATAAGTAATTCGAAAATATTGCAAATGTTTGTTGAGATGTCAAAATAAAATAATATTGAAAATGGGAGGATTAATATTTGAAGCTTTGATATTTTAAGATCTCAGGTGAATGAATGGCACAAGTCGAAAAAATAAAATAGCATGTGCTGTAAAATTCTAACCGAAATGAACTATCTTTTGTGAAAGCTGTAGCGTATTACGCACTAACAGGTCAGCTATTTAATGAAAGAATTTAGAGGCTTTGTGTCATACTACTTTTATTAAAGAAGTATAAGTAAAAGAAAGAAAGAAAAAGATTATTGGTATTTTTAGACTGATCTGATGAAGACATATAGTTTGCATCTCGTTTCCATTACTCTGGTTAAAAAAAAAAGTTTTGGGCTGAAGACAAAATTGACATTTTTATATTATAGTTTGCATAGAAAGAAAGTGTGTTTAAAATGAAGAAGTCATTTTTTTTCAATCATATTGGCATTGCTAATTATAAAGGCATTGGACAATTTCTTGGAATCTTATTGAAGTTTAAAAAAGAAAAAAAAATGCATTCATTTTCAGAGTTAAAGTTTTATATTTATATAAAAGTATACATGTAGAGGTCGGCCACAGTACTGCAGGTCTCATATAGTTACAAAGGTGCTTGGAAATCATAAGAAGATTTTAATCGCAAAAAGTATCCTAATCATTTCTTAAAGGGCTGTGGTATAATGCAGCTAAAAAGAAAGAAAAAAGAAAATCATTATTTTGAATTCAGCAACAATTCTAGCAGAATTTGTTTCATTGAAAATTAATTGGATGTTATCTTACTCAAGATCAAATATCATTGGAGATGTTAAAGTTTTTATATTTATTAAGTGATGCCTCAGATGTAGATTATGGTATTTTATTGAGGTTCTGTCGGAGGACAACAAAAACAAAATTACGGTGAAAATATTTAACAAAAGAAGATGGGCGAATAAGGCGGGCAGAATGCCTATAGTGCGACAGATAAGAAGTGAAAATTTTAATCTCAACTGAATACAAATTTTACTTGATATTTCATCTAATATTAAAGTATGCTTCATGTAAAATCTCTACAATTTACAAAAATCTCACAAAGACTGAAAATATTTGCCTTTGAAAATGCTTACACACACTAAAAAGAACAAAAACGATCATTTTCTCAAACTTAAACAAAATTTTTCAATATGGGTGGGTCTTCTCTCCATTTTTTTGAAAGATGATCCTAAAAGTGTGCTATGAAATACATATTTTTTGGTTTTCAAAAACATGGAGCGAAGACCCACTATACATGTACCTTAAAAGTACAATTTTATGACACAACATAGCATGTTTCCGAGAAATACTTCAAGTCCATTAAGTGGCGGGTCATATCACAAACATGATTTAAATGCCTAAAATCACCATGAGTGGTGTAGCATAGTTGTTAACGCGTAAGTCTCAAAGCAGAATGCTATTCATACGTCGGATTTTTATTGCTAGGGTTCGAATCCCACGAATACCATCTAATAATTTTATGAAAGAAAATTTTTTACGAGATTTTTTCTCTCTCAGAAAAGTTTTTTTCATAATTTCAATAATTGGAAGTTAATTTGAATAATCAATTCACATATTTAATATGATTTCTTAATATCTGACGCTATAGGCATTCTGCCCGCCTTTTTCACCCATCTTCTTTTTTATCTTTGATGCATCAGATGTATCCAATTTACATTGAATTTTTGCAAAAGGATGTCTCAGATGTAGACTATATACTTTATTTGATGTTTGTCGTGGGACAAAAAAAATCATTTTTTGAAAACATTGAACGAAAATGGTTTGCTTTTAATTTTGATGCATCAGATGTATGCACTTTACATCGAATTTTATGAAATGATGTCTAAGATGTAGGCGATGGATTTTTATTGAATCCTGACAAAAATATACTACATGTAGTATGGTTGTAATAAAAAAAAATCAGCAATTGCAAATTCTAACGTACGAAAATCGTCCAGATGCTTGATTAGGTATGTGAAGCGTAATGTTCATCACATGCACCGAGAAAAATTTAACATTTTTCGAGATTATATACTGTAAATAAATTAATTGATTCAAGGGGTAATATTTGGTACTGTAATAGTTAGTAATGAAAAACCTCATTTGAAAAAAAAAAAGAAAAAAATGTTCCTGAAATTTAAAAACATGTTCAGAAAACATCGTTATGGAATTCCATACATCGTAAAAAAAAAAAAAATTTGGATCGTGGGGCCGATTTGATTGTTTCATTTGAATTTGATTGGATAACGAACGAGAAAACATATTAATATTAAAAAATGTCAATGCAAGAGTTTAACACATTATAAACAGATTGTTATGCATTACAACAAAAGTGTATTAAATTCTATTTTAGGTATATGTGTCTGGAAACACAAGGCATAAAGATTTTTTTAAAAAATGTGTCTTCTTGAGCAGAAGAAAACGAATTGTTTAGTTTGGCCTCAAATATTTTATTTAAACAAATTTGTCACAGATATAAAGCAGAGATTATTACAGAGTGTATTTTGTCTCTGGTCCGATTAGGTTGTTGGTTAAAAAAATATGCCTTGGAAATATTGACAGGAAGAATACCTTGCGTTAAAAAAAAGCCAAATGTCTATTTACTGTATATATATACATGTATATAATTACGACACAGAAAATTAGAATTATGATTTATAAACATTATTGTCATTTATTGATTTCAAATTGAATGGTATTCTTTCATAAGAATTAAGATGGTTGGTAAACAATTTTCATGAATTAACGTGTAGTTTTCATATCAGTGATTTTACAATTCTTTTAGTTGTAGGGATGAAAATGCAGTCAGAACGGTACAAGGATATCAGCTTTTCAAAATTTGGCTGTCTTTGAAGTCTGATGTTTGTAACGTCAAAATATCCTCTGCATTCTAAAAGTGAAAATTTTAAAGAAAGCTGGAGATCGCAAACATGGATATATGAGAAATTCTGGTAAAATCTGTGCGGTGTTATATATGTCTTCTTAGGATGTGTTTTATTCCACTACAATTCTGAAATTAATTCACGCAAACAGATGCATAGCATATCGTTTAGAGGAGCCGAGTAAAAAATTCTTCGAAACTGAGCAAAAGATAGTTAAAGAGCCGGTTTGTAGAAGAAGTCCAATTGAAAATAAAATGCATGTTGCAAAATTTGTGTACATTGTATAAAAACATTGACAAAAGTTTTCTTTTCAGGAATTTGGTTCATGTTATTACGATCAAGATTTTTCAGAGATTTTATCACTTAAGCACTTTAAAATGTGACATATTTGGTTGAAGATAAATAGTTGGAAACTGGGATAAAATAATGAATAATCATATAAAGATATCTCTGGTAAGCAGACCAACATTAATAATACATAAGTAAATAAATAGATATATTACATGTAGGTAAGAAGACCAACATTAATAATACAAAAGTAAACTAGAGCCGAGCTCGTTGCAAAGGAACGAGTAGGTCTTCCGTTAGAGCTGCGGACAGGGAGAAATGACCTTGAGTCAAGGTCATGCAACATTCTAATATTAAAGCAATCTTTTAAAGGGAGATATCATCTCATAACGTTTTACTATTGAATAAGATAGCATAGGAATGTTTGTGACCTTGACCTTGTCAAAATGACCCTGCGTCAGATCATCACGCTGGTGATGAGCATATCCCATTTATGTGCTACTGTATTGACAATTTCACACATGTTCTTAATCAGACAATGCATCCTGCCAAAATATCTTATCCTAAATGACTTTGATTCAAAGCCATGACACACTGATCAGCATTATATAAGCAATACTTTATTCGACAGGCCTATTCACAACTAATTTTGGAAAAGCAGGTTAAACTTTTTGGTCAAAGTTCATTATTTATAGTATTTGAAAAGATTTGAAATGTGTCTCTAGCACATTCCTTCATTTTTTCTACAACAAAACATCCCTTACAACTGTTTTAAATAGTCCTCCTGAGCCTGAATTTGAGATATCAAAATATCTTCTACTATTCTACCATTTTGGGTGGCAAGATAATTCAGTCCAACGAGCTTCTTGCAGATATCAGGTACTAGTACATTTATTTGATAGAGGTTTCAGAAACATTTTGAAATCCATCTTTTGTGCAGTTGAGGTCAGGATTCGGAGAAATTAATCCAGAACCGAGCGCATTATTTGTACGCAATAAGTATAATAAGTGGTGATTTTCCCAGCTAGCGAGCTAGAGATCTGCAGCTAGCTTTTCACCAAATATATTCTATTAAAACTATGATTCTATCTACTTTGTCAACTTTAATTGCTAGAAATCTAGTGTAAAAATCCAGAATGAAAATAATGAATGTTTAGAAATGAAATTAATTGTCAGAAATGCAGTGCAGAATTCCGGAAATCAATCTCAGCGAAAACTGGTATACTAGTATTGTACATGTACCGCCACTTACCTAAAGAAACTAATGAATGTATTACACACGTACGTGTACACACTTCGATTCTTGATTGAATACTCTAATGGGCATAAGCTTTAGAAATTAAAAAGTTTATGATTTTAAATAGGAAAGTTTGTGACGGATACTATAATCTTTGCAGACTTTGTTTCTTTTCCATTAATTTGAGGATCGGCGAATAAAAATATCTCGCGTATGATTATTGGTTAACATTATATATTTATTGACTGAGTTCGAGGGCAACATGCATTTTGTCGAAACCAAGAACCAAACTATCTGCATGCTTGACATATATAATTATTATAATGTTATGGATTATATTCGGATTTAAACACCAGCCTTGACCTGTACGTATCTGAACAAACTTACCAATTGACATTCTCAACTCTGAAGGAAAACATTGCATCGATTCCGGGAAGGAGTGTTATATGTACGTATTGCGATGAGAGAAAATTTAAAGATCTCTCAGTCCATTAAACATAAAAGAATGACTTGGAATAAATGTATGCAACTGCACGACTTTCTCAGAATCAATTTTTGTTTAAAAAAATGTCTAATTACTCATTTTTTTTCTCGTATTCTGAAAGCTCGGAATGTATATATTTTGGGAGCTCTTCCATGTAAAACTGCATGTGTTTTTTTTTAATAATCATGTACCCGTAAAATCGTCTCATTGTGATATTCTTTTTATTCAAGGAAAAAAAATACATGAGCTTATCATTCTGTACAATAAAATTATAAGTTCTGTAGCAAATAATGCAAAACTAAAAGTTCCTTAATTTAATTTTCGATTTTCATGAGAATTGGAAACATCGCTTCCAAAAACAGTTTTGTCATGCTTCTTTGTATTTGCTAATTTAAAGATCATCACACATTTCTCAAATATAAAGCAATTAG